GCATACAATAGGATTAGCCTTATCTTAAGTTTCTTAATAGCAAGACTGCATCTTCCTGACAACATTCTGTTTCCAACAGGACTTAAATTCCAAGTAATTCTTAATAAAGTAGCAATAGCTATGTCTGGCAGAGTTGGAACCATAAGGACAACATGAACACCCAAAACAGTTTATTCAGGTTTGACTCAAGAGGACAAACTACATTTCAGACCCAACATACCTAAAGAAGCTTCCAGACTACCATTTTTAGGTCATGCCCTGTACTTCTTTCTGCTTTTCAAATCATATTTAGGAAAGTCAGATCATAAAGTGGATCACATTGTGGCATTTCAAGTGAGGTTATTCTCTACATAATAATTATTGCCTTTATTCTCATCACTTGCATACTGTTTTGCTACTCTGAGAATGTTATTTTTGTTTATTTCTGAGAAGCTTTTTTTAATCCCTTCCAAGTACCAGCGTCCTCAGCGCAGCTATCTCATGCTCCATGAACTTTAGTGCAAATGCTATAAGTGTTTCTTTTCTTCTTAACAACTTCATTACAGTGCTTACACAGGAACACAGTGCTTGTACTGTAACCATGCAAAGCAAATATTCTGTAGTAAATGTAAGCTTTATTCAAAGTGTAGCTTTAAAAGTCTTTATGGCATACTCCAGCCTGGACTGCCAGTGCTAGTATAGAGAAAATGGCAAAAGGAAAGCTAAACGACAGACCTTTCACACTAACAAGAATTTTGGAACAGTCAAACAGAAAACCTATGGGCTAAACATATTGCCAAAATGTGTCAGCCTGTTTGTTGAATTTAACTGTATTCCTGTTTCACTTAGATAGTCTGAGTAGAAATGGTTGAATGTCTCTTCTTCTTGTAAAGATTTATGTGTTGTTCCTTATAACACCATTCCTTTGAAAGATGCCCTTGCTGGGCAGTATCTCCGGTAATTTGATATGCTGCAACACAAGACATTATTTCCCAAATAGCAGCCAGGGAGACATTTATGATTGTACAAACACCAGAGATCCAGATTTGCCACCCCAATTAAATGAGGCATTTTTTCCATCTTCAGGAAGCATTTCAGAGAATAAACTTAAGCTGTTGAAGATTGTTGGGCAATATCTAATAGCTGAAATCTTTATTATGTCTAAGTTAGAAGCTACTGGATATATGTTGTCCTTATATTTAATAGAAAATGCGATAATCACACTGTCACCATATGTTCTCCCACTCTATGCATCTTTAAAAATCAGTATTTATATCATGAGTAAAACTATTCAGTAGTTTGAAAATTTACAAAATTGTATTAAAGAATGTTTGAAACTGCACTGAAATTTGTTACAAATCTCTGTTTTCACTTTTTTCCTCCAAATAAACCAAACCATTAATATTTGTAATTTGGATTCTATGTACTTCTCTATCAAGTCTCATATGGTAGCCTTTTCAAAGAAAATAATGCAGCTATCAGCAACATTGTTTCTCATCTTCATTGTATTATTACCTTCTCCATCATGTCAAGGAAAAAAACCTCCAAAAAACCTCCAACCCCAGACTCCCACACAACTCAAATCCCCATCTTCCTCTTTGCTAACCCACAACATCCCAAGGTATCCCTACGAAAAGGACCTCAATTCGTCTACATTATCTTCTCAGGCTCTTTCTTCACCGTGAGACTGTTACATATAAGAAAGAAAAATGAATGGAGGATTAAAAAAAAAAATGAATCAAATTTATGTGAGAGACAGAAGTAGACCTTTTCTTTTTTTAAAAAAAGATGAAATATACTTCTGGCAAGCTAGCAGGCAAGTATCAAGTCATGATTTTCCTTCTGGTAGAAGTAAGCATGACCAGCACACAGGCCATCAGTGACAGACTTCTCAAAGAAATACATCTAGGGAGCAAGGCAGCATCAGGGATCCCATTCTAAGGGCTATTTTAGAAAAGATGAAATCCCATTAAGGTAAAAAATAAGGAGAGAAACACCAACAGCCTCTTACAGCAGAGAGCTGAAATAAAGTCAAAACCATTAGTGGAGGCAGTGAGGAATCGGAAAGGAAACAAAGGCATAAAAGTTTGTGCACTATGAAAATCTGCACTGTTGGCTTCACTTATTAAATAAACTCCATAGTTCTGTTTTAAAAACTATTTTGGACTCAGCTAAAGAACACTGTTGCATTTTGCCTCTTCTAGTGGGAGAAAAATGAAACAACATTTAATGTTCAGAGCTTAGTCTGTACAAAGTGGAAAACGATTATGTTAGCCCTTAATGCTCACACTGAGTGGAGGCCTGTTTTTTTGGTGGTGCTATTTTTTTGTCTAAGGGAAAAAAGACTCCACTGAAAGGCACACATGGCCATGTACATATATCTGCTTCTGCTGATATCACTACCACAGACCTAAGTACTTTAATTCAGGAAATGTAGAAAATCACTGAATGATTTAAAAAAAAAAAAAAATCACAAACCCACTGAACTACCTATTTTGAAATTCAACCTAGCATTAATGGCAATAAAACAAAGAACAAAATCCAACACCATAATATCTCAAAGACAGAGTGATGCCTGAATAAATCAAAATCACCAGTTTTGGTTTGTGGTACAGAAGTTTACATCTGAATGCAGCTGGATCGCAGTCAACTAGCCAGCTCCCATAGCAGCACTTCCAAGCTGTATTGATTTCCAGGGAAGAAAAGGCACTGTAAATCTGCTTGAGCAGCATTGCGTCATACTTTTGGTTGGCCTGAAGAAGTAAATTAAATGTTTTCCATTAGTATGGTAAAGAAGCTATACAATTTTGTTTTTATTTCAAATAGAGTCTCAAGTTACAGAACACTTTAGCTAAGTCTGTGGCAAGGACTACATGCTTCGTGTTTGTAAAGCCAGCAATTCATGCTTATGTGAAAACAGATGTGCACACTGCACAGTTCCCAGGGCTGTGGAGGTTTTTTTAAATGCGTTGCTGTTGATTAAAAAAGATCCCGCTTTTCAGTCAAATCATGGAATAAACTGAAGCAGAAACAACATGTTCTTGCCAGGAAGGGGGAAGAGGGGAAGAGGGGAAGAGCAAAGGGTCGGGAGCAGAAGAAAATTTTAAGGGAATAAAACCCACACACACAGAGCAGGGTATGAGCTATGCTGTAGTACAACAAAGAGCAGCACAGTTATGAGAAGCAATAAGCATAACATTATTTGAGGTAACAAGAACTCCTTGATCAATTATTTATATAATTTACAACAACAGTTACAGCTGCACCAATGAAAAAAAAAAGAATCTAGGGCAAATATAAAATCTTCATGGCTATGAACTGTTCTTGATTTTCACCAGAACTTTTGGCTGTCTCATATAAGGTGTTTCTGGTTAGCAACAAACCCCCCCAACAAAGGGAAACGAGACAGAAAGGCACAGAACAAACTGCCTTGCTGGAAGCAGTGACAGCATTCAAGGCTGCATTTTAATCCTGGATGCTGTGCATTGACAGTACACTAACATTGTTGTACATGAAACCTAACCACCACCACCCCACTTAGATACATCCATGCAGCCCATGGGATTATAAGGATACTTTCTAGGAAGTCTTTACTCTCTCAATGCATAAAACTGGACTTTTAAAATAAATAAACGTTTAAATAACTTTCAGAAGAAATACTATATTTTTTTAGTCCATGGTTATCTCAACTTGCATTGTTTCTTGTACTCCTAAAGCAGATGTAACAAAAGGAAACATTATGGAGATAAGTATTTCTGGATTGGGTTTTTTCTTTCAGTTTGAAATCAGTGTATAATCGTCATCATCAGTTTTGCTGTTATGTCAAGGTTTGAATACTCAGTTGAATAATGAGCATCCTCAGTTGTTCAAGATGACCTTGCCAGTAGACTGGAGAAACACAGTTGCAACTGAAATCAAAGAACTGAGAAGCAGAAAGAAAGGGCATGGTGTAACAAAGGGACGAGGGGGTCTAAATGTGCTTGGTGGTCTGACTCCCAGGCATGTACAGCAGATCAGAAGGGAAGGTTATGAGCTGAAAAACTGATTGTGCTAATCGCAAAACTTTTGGTAGGACAATGAACTTTGTTCTAGTTCAGAGCTCTAATTTCAGTCTAAATTAGAAAGATCAATAAAGGATTAACTACAAAAATCTGCAATTCTTTTTGGATGAATCAAGAAATATTTATTTAAGAAGTTTTCCAACAGTGAAGTTAACACCTTGCAACAGCTATTTTTAAAAAATAGAGAAGTTGGCAGACCTTTAGAAGTACCTACGTTTAATCTTGAAGAAATACATAGAAAACATTTCCACTACTACTCACTTTTTTCAGCCAACTCTCTACACAAAGTTCAGTTATTCTTGTCAGTATGAAGGAAAGATTCTGCATATATCATCACTACATTTAAAATCCTGGCAAGTTAACAAAGCCATAGCATAGTCAAATCTCCCAGAGTGCCTGGGACTGTAGCATTTATAGGTTCAAAAAAGTTCTTGGGGTCACATTTCTTTTTCTTCCATCAGCATTTGTCCTTTACAAGCAAGAATGGGTTCTGGATGACCATACTAAGAAATAACTACAGTGCTGATAAACAGAAATTCATGATATGCAAACCTTGTCCTTCTCCCACTGCTGAAGATATCAGAGTGTGTTTTCATATTTTTGTGGCCAAAGTGAGCTCTGAATATGACAATTAAAGTGGGATATGTTTCTAAAAACAGAGCGTGCTGTAGAGCTCAGAAACAGCCTGTTCCCTTGTGAACAAAGAACTGCAAATATATCTTCTTACTAATAATATAAGGAGTTACTTCTGGCTCTAATCAACAATGCACTATGTTGTCTCCCACTCACCCCACTCCAGCATTGGCTACTACAACATTTGTAGCAGGTAGCAAGGAGGAATACACACAAAAGGAGAAAGCTCAGAGATGTATTTCTGTGTTTATTTAGCAAGAAAAAAAAATCCTTATTTTGAAAATTGTATCGGCCAATTCAATTTGCTTGAAAAATGAATTGTTTTACCTTGATGTATGATTTCTGAGTCCTGCTAAGGCTGTCTGGCCTGTTAGGAGGTCTTTACCTTTAGCAGAGGTCTCCAGATGAAGACAGATCTCTTCACCCTGGAACTCCCAGAGGCTCCCTGTAGCAATGCCTGGAGACACAGCAACAGAGAAGGCATTTAGCTTCATCATTGCACATCATCAAAGCCACAGTTTGAAAATGGACAAGGGTCCTGAAAGGCTGAACTTTGGCTTAGACAATGTAAATTTCAGAAACCAGAACCCTTTATCTTCATTTGGAGACTGAAAGCCTGCAAACAGGTAGTCAGCAGTACCGGACAGCTGTATATCTAGTCAGCTGTAGATGGTCTCTAGCATTTATATTGCCAGTCCTAACAGCATAATCTCCAAGCTCTGAAGTTTCACAGGTGACCTATAGGTCTCAATACTGAATTTCTCTCATGTCATTATTATCCCCATGTTGTCAGAGATATGCATTGGGAATGCTTCAGAGCAAAGAGCACAAATGTGACACATCACATCTTCTCAGGGAAGTCGCGGAGTGCTGTGCCACGACAGGCAAGAAACACAGACTGCAAACCTCCCTGCACATGACTTCCATCCAGCTGACAAAGCAGTCCTTGTTAAATATCCACTCCAGAACACTGTCTTATGCTCAGAAAAATTAAAAGTAAAAATCCTTAAATTTCTCCATCAGAAGGGAAGGATAACAAGAATGCCTTCCTGAAATTAATGTGTTTCACCACTGTTTTTCACATGCAAAACAACCATACAGAATTTGGTAGGTTACAAGACATGACCTAAATCCCTCTTTATGTTCTTTTTTTTCAAAATGCCACCTGAGGTAAGATCAGCTCTAATCATACAGAAAAGTACTTGGGTACATGAGATTTCTAGGGTTTGCTTTTATTTGACAGTATGTGATCAAGCACCCTTAGTGGCACAAGCAGATGGCACAGTAGCTTCTTTCAAGCAAATCGTTCTGAGCAGTTTCAGTTGTTCAATTATTTTAGTTTTCTAATCAGCTATTCACTCTAGAAACAGGACTGCAACCAGGTCACAGACCATGTGAGAAACACAGGGTCCCTTTAACAAAAATCTCAGAAATATGTGCGAAAACTGTTTAAGCATGAATTCAAGAAAACAGGTATCTCATACAGTTAACACACCAAACGGGCAGCAATATTTGTCAGATCTCGATTGCTTTGGGCTTCCTCCCTCCCAGTCTTTAGGGAACTTGACTGAGTTTGGGTCTTGACATGAGTACAACTGGGGTTTTTTGTGTTGGGTGGGTGGATGAAGTCTCATCTCGGGACGCTGGCTGCCTTTGAAACTGGTACAACAGAAATGGGCAACAACGGAGGGATTTCAGAGACATGGGTATCTTCATGTAACTGCTTATAAATTAGAAATAATAACAAGAGAAAAATGAAGGCATAAACATATTCAGAGTGACGTAGCATTACAGCTACTCCGTTATTACAGGCCTGCTGTAGTATTGTTATTCTGGTATTCAGTAAAGGAAAAAAAAATTTAAAACATGGTAAGAAAAAAAAAGATTTTTCCAACCTTGCCTTGTTTCGTACAACAGAGCACAACAAGAGACTACCAATCAGAAACACACTCTTGTATTATTACAAATTTTTCTGATATTCCAAATTACTGTACTTTACTCAGTTATTCTGAACAACACTCATTTCAGTCTAAAAACAAAAGCAACTTTGCAAGCAAAAGGATGTAGTTTGAGATCCCTGTAAGTTCATATTTGACAAGTCAGAGGGGAAAAAAGTGAATGTGGTCATTAATTGCAGCTAGTAAATCTGTTCCAGACGTATTTCTTGGCCAACAGCTTCAGCAAGTTCAAGTACAAACACTTTTATTTCCAAGTTGAGTGAAAACTTCAACAACCAGCAACTGGTCAGGATAGAAGACATCCCAAAAATCCCCAGAAGGCTTTTAGATGTAATGCTTAAAAAGAAAAACTTGCGACAAAATACTGTGGAAAAAGAAGTTCACAACTTTTTGTGTAGGCAAATATTCAGCTTCACAAATTCTTTCCCTTCTGCCTGTTGAAATTGGACTCCCTTCCTTTTTATTTCTCCACTAAGTTGCTGGTTTAGAATCTGCAAAGAATATGGTTTGTAGTCCCCAAATTTACATCTAGTGCTAGTAATGTTATCAGGCTCCTACGGGAAATACTTGTCACTGAGTTGACTATATTTATGTTTACAGATGAAAGTATGTTATGAATGTATATGTGTGCATGCATCTGTACTAATATATATATTAAGGTAGCTGAACAGTTATCAGTCAGCTTCTCTTCTCTAAAGTGTTCAGAACTGCATTTTAAAAATATTTTTATGAAACTGTTTTGTATTTATAGACTACATCCTGAGTTTCAGCCTTTATCCAACAAGCTGGAGCCTTTTATGACACATGTAGTTTCCTGCTTCACTGTCCAGTATCAACAAGTCTTTGGGCTTTTTTTCTGAAAAGACTTTTCATCCTCACTTGCTACGTTCTTCCTCTCTTTCGTTCTCTTGCTCAGTATGAAATCAAAGTTTTAATACTTACAAAAATACACAGACTCTCACAGAAGAGAAGCCAAACCTGATTTAGAAAGATTCGTGAATGAACAAATGAATAGGCTCCTTATTCTAATAACCCCAAAGGCATCAATCTATATTCTAATAACCCCAAAGGCATCAATCTATATTCTAATAACCCCAAAGGCATCAATCTAAACCTTCAAACCTCACTCAAGTCTACCATGAGTTTTCCATAATCCAAACTAAAGTCTTTAAAAATGTAGGATTTATTTACAAAGAAATAAGCTGCTATAGATGCACAGCAGCAGACGATTAAGCATTTGATAACCTAATGCTTTCATAAGGCATTACCTTCATCACTGTCACTGGAGGAAAACTGAAGTAAGGAAACTGAAACTAGAAGACAGTGGAAGAATCTAGCTATTCAAATAAATAAGATATACTTTCTGTGTCAAAAGAGATATGAAAGCTCTCTTCAGCCAAACATCTGTGAGAGAATAAAGTTATTTAACAAAGCAGAACAGGTATAGAAGATCTCAGCCTTCAACTAGAAACAAGGGAATATTTACCAATGCGTATTGTGCCAAAACTATTCAACCTGTTTAATGAAGACCTAAATTTTCACAGGCAGGAAGTACAGACTCACTACTCTCACATCTCCATAACTTTCAGGTAAAAAAGCTCACATCAAACATGAATTGAAAGGTGTCAATTTAGAGAGCACAATTTTCAGAAACATTAATTTGTGGAGTTTTGTTAGGAAGGGGCCATATCCACTAAATCCAGCAATTTCTATACCTGTAGACAGATTCGTTTTCATTAACAACAACAATAAAACTAAACTGTAATCTGTTTGCATGGTCAGGATTAAGCCACTGAAAAGCTGAAGGAATCAAATTAAAGATAAACAGAAAAATCATAAGTTGGGCAGTTCCCACAATTAACATTAATATGTTTGCATTTGGCACAGCATTACGTTAATTATTACTCTATATTACTTTTGCTGGCTAATAAAAGCATAAGTATCTTCAATATTGGAGGTTTTACTTCTGACATGAAACAACATTCGCTTTTTCTGACTTTATACACAGTTGTTAAAAATATTCACCCCAACACAGATCAATAGTAATAAATTTCATTGCAAAGTAAAACACCTATAAGGAACTAAGAGGAGCCTTATTCACCACACAGCTTGATGAAAATACTGCTAATTTTCTCAAGCAAGAGTTATATCAGCTGGACAACTGAAAGGTAGTAACATTGTTAAAGATCTCATGGTTTCACTACCACTACTATTGCAGCTGTGAGTATTTCACTAGGAGACTCTGGATCGGCACTATATATTATAAGGGAGAGTTACTGTACATTTACAGAAGCACAAAGTGCACTAATCTCCTAAATCTTAATTATATTGACACAAAGCTTCAATTAGAAGTAGATTACCAAGTCCAACACACTAATATTTTTGTTTGCTGGTGTGTATCTACATACGTCTGAGAATCATAGCTACAGGAAGAGACAAAAAGCAGTTTATCTTCATTAGTTTTCTCCCCACGTTGTCAAATACTTTCTTTTCTAGTCTTCAAGCCCAAGGGTTTCATTAAAAGTTTGTATCATTTATAATAATATGAAAGGAAAAAAAAAGGAACACAGAGAAACAGGTTTTCTGGCCAGCATGGTACCTGGTGCTGCAGGATAGGTTTTGTCTTCTAGAGTTAAAAAATAAATGAAAATATGTATAGACATCACAACAGAAAAAATAGAGTGGGTAGCCCAGTAAAACAGGACTCCAAAGATAAGTAAAAAGAGATGGTTGTTCTCTTGACAAAGAAATTGTCTTAGAGGAAAATGAAGGGCAGGAAAATTAAAGTACTTGAACAAAGCAGTAGTTTTGTTCTGTCTGATGGGTTTCCATCCTGTCACTTTCTTTGTGCACCCAAGGAATGCCAAACAAATTAATGACAACAAAAAAGCAATCAGAATTAGGTCTCCTAAGACAGGTGGTTATCAAAGAGGATAAACACAACTGTTACGGAAAACTATTCCTTCAAGAAACTCCACTGAAAAGCAGCAGATGATTGAAAGCACTCCCCGGCTGAAAGCACAAACACAGCTCAAGGGGTACCAACTAAAAACTGAAACTGGGAATTTATGAACTGAGTTTATATACTAATGTACAATCTCCTACCCTCTTCAGTCTCTGTGAATATACATCTCTTGCCAAGGGACTTGAAAGAAGAAAGACTGTACGCTTGTGAGCATTCCTGGGTTCAGTGACAACAGCCAACTTAGGAGTTCAAACACAGATCACAAACGGTAAGGAAAACAAGGTATATGATGAAAAGTAAAATTATTCCAGTGTGGGGTGGTGTGAGAAGCAGAAAAAGCCCTGACACCATGCAAGCACTGCTCAGCAATAAGAAAAACATGACTGTATTATCAACACTGGTTTCAGCACAAATCCAAAACATGTCTCCATACCAGCTACTATAAAGAAAATTAACTCCATCCCAGCCAAAACCAGCACAAAGTGACAGGAGAAGATAGATTTAAGAAGGGGCCTGTTACCATGATTCATTTTA